CATCTTCCACTGCTTTCCCAGGCATATTAGCAGGAAGCTGGGTCAGAAGTGGAGTAGCTGAGACTTGAACCAGCACCCATATGAGATTCCAGTGTCACAGGAACGGCTTTTCCCACTATGCCTCAGTGCCAGTCCCTGGCGCCTTCTTGCCTTAGGTGAGGTGTCATTTCTTTGTGGAGGACTTTCCAAGACACCCTAAGATAGTCACCTCTCCATCCTGCACCCCGTATTCCCACTTCACGCTCTATTACTTGCTGAGTCCTGATAGGCCAGTGGAACTGCATTGCTTATCTGTCAATGAGTTCCCATTGGAGCATTGGATCCAGGACAACAAGATCAAGTCTGTTCTGTCCCTCACTTTGCCTCAGTACCCAGAGGAGCACCTGACCCACAGCTGGTGAACACATATTTGGAGAATGAAAATGAGTGTGCATGAAATGTGTACAGAAGAAGAGATTCGGCTGGAAATCCCAAAATAAGCCTGGGTTACTGGATTCATCATGCATTAACTCGTCCTGATGTTCTTGGGCCCCGTCTCACTCCATTTTCTGCTGGTACTAACACAAAACCACCAACAGGTGAACCTATAGAGAAAAGTGGTTTACCGTGGCTCACAGTTCTGGTCCAAGGTCAAGGGGGCTGTGAGAAGAGAACATTTGGTTCATTTTCAAAGATGTTTGGCTGTGAGTATTCAACTAGCTAGCCATAACAGCTTGCAGACAAGTAGCTGTCTACTATAACACCCATTTCGTGCACCTGAAAGTGCTTAAATACACGGGATGTCAGTGGCCAAAACAGCTGAAGCCAATGCCTGGCAGACTGTAACCCCTAGTACTGAGTCAGTGAAGAACTGGAGGAGGGACCTGTGTACTGGGAAACAAATAGCTTGCTGTAAACCACCCAGGAGTGCTCACCCACCAGCCACTGGGCTGTGCAAGGTCATGAACAAAGTCTGGCTTTTGCTACACTCATGAGTCTGAGTCCCTCTTCTGAGTCCATCAGTTCTGAGGGGCCACTCCAGCTCCAGCACACCCTGTGGGGGCTGTGCTGACTGCTGTCAAGCCTGTACCACAGTAACCACTTTTCCTCTGCCCTGTCCTCTCAGGCTCCCCCTACCATACCTCCTGCCCTTACACTTGCTGTGAACCTGGTTCCTGGGAATCCCAACCTGCAGCAGGCTCTGTGCCTTGCTCAGCACCTGCCAGGTGCAGCCATGCAGAGATGGGAAGAGTAGGCATCCTCAGCACTGGGAGAGCACTGGGAGGGAGATGGTGCACGGCCACCCAGGGCACAGATGGAGGTCTGGGACCCATCCTGGAGGGACCCAGCCAGGCAGACGCACCAGAAAAAGATGCTCCAGTGAAGTACTTTTCTTTTCTTAAGGTTTATTTTATTCATTATCTGAAAAGCAGAGCAACAGTGAGAGAGAGAGAGAGAGAGAGAGAGAGAGAGAGAGATTGTCCATCTGCTGCTTCATTCTCGAATTGGCCACAATGGCCAAGGCTGAGCCAGGCCAAAGCCATGAGCCTGGAACTCCATAGTGTCTCCCACATGGGTGGCAGGGGCCAAAATACTTGGACCATTTTCTGCTGCTTTCCCAACCATATTAGCAGGGCGCTGAATCAGAAGTAGAACAGCTGGGACTAAAACCAGCTCTCCTATGGGATGCCATGATACAGCAACCTGCTAAGCCGGCCCCTCCTACAACGTTCGGAAAAACAAACCAGCGCTTACCAGAAGGATAATGGGTCAGCACTTGGCTTCATGGTTATATAGGCAAAGCCGGACAAGTAAGCAAGGAGCAGATGCCGGAGACTTGGGAGCCACGTGCCCTGTGCTTGAGAGTGCAGGCTTCATCCGGACAGCAGAAATATGGCCACGCAGAGAAAGGAACAAGAAGGGCAAACCTCAGAGAAGGAGCTTCCGCTCAGCAGCTGAGAGTAAGAGCATTAGGGTGTCCCTGCCTGCAGGCCCCTACATCTGCTGTAAGGTCAAAGAGAGCCCTGGGCTGCACAGCCGTTGAGTCCCAGGACCCTCTGAGAAGGGCGGGAGGAGGACCTGGCCTCTCTGGTCTCCCCAAGGTCTCAGAATGCAGCGTCCACTGTGATGGGCACTGCCCTTCCCCTGTCCATCCATCGCCAGTTCTCCCCACTTGGTATTTGTCAGCTAATGAAGGACCTCAGCCATTTCAAGTCCAGGTGCGACCATGCGTATTTGCATACTCCTGTCAAATCTGCATTAGCTCCTCTTGACCACAAACCTTGGTGACCTCCCCGTTAATGAAATACCACAGTGATTAAAACCTCCTTCAGGCTTGGTATTTGGAAATACCGCTGGCTTTTAGAGAACACACTTCACAGACAGCCTGGAAAACCCCATCACAGGGGAGAATCTGCTTATGACCCCGGTCTGTTTTTTAATATATATATATTATTTTTTTTGAGAAGGAGACGGGGAACAAAACTGTAGGCTTCAGGTTTGGGATTTTATTTTGTAGCTCACTTCACTTCCAAACTTTTCATAAAAGCTTTCAGAGTCACTGATATTTTTATTCTGAGAGCATTTCCGTCTACTCAGACCACTGGCTTAGTTTTAGCTAATTAAACTTGTGAAACGAGGCAGTGGGTAACAGTTCACTGCAGTACCGGCTGGCTGGATCTTGCATGCTAATTGAGCCTCCTGCCCCTGCTGCTGCATGCAGGATGGCCTGGGCCTTGGAGCCTTCCCAACAGCACCTCCCTGCACAGCCCCGGTCTAGGGACTGGGCCTGCCAGCATCGTGAAGCCTACAGATCTGAGATTTGGAGCAGGGACCACACTGCTCACTTTCCTATTTTAGCCTACTTCCCATTTACTTTGTTGTCATTGCTGTTGTTCAATGCTGTCAACAAATGACCCAGCAACAAGCAGGAAACTCTCCTCCGATGTGACATTCAGGAATTGGAGAAGGGCCTGGTCATAGGGTAAAAAGCAAAGGCCATGGGCTACCAGCCACGCTGTGCCAGGGGCCACAGAGATGACGCTCCCAGTGCTCAGAACAACTCTTCCTAGCAGCCATCATCCCCTGCACCGCCTAGAGAGGGAAGTCTGCTCTGAGAAGCTCAGAAGGCAGAGGTCAGGACAGGGCAAGTAGATGATGTGGAAGGTGGCCCTGGGGCATTTGGTAGAGGCCCTTAAGACAACAGAACAGGGGCTGGCTTGTGGTGTAGCTGTTATAGCTGCTGCCTGCGATGCCAACATCCCTTCTGGGCACTAATTCAAGTCCTGGCTGCTCTGCTTCCAATCCAGCTCCGTGCTCATGCACCTGGGAAAGCTGCAGAAGGTGACCCAAGTGCTTGGGCCCCTGCAACCCACAAGGGAGACCTGGACAAAGCTCCTGATGCTGGCTTCAGCCTGGCTCAGCCCTGACTATTGCAGCCATTTGGGAGTCAACCAACAGATGGAAGATCTCTGTGACTTTGACTTTCAAATAAATCTCTTTATAAAAAAAAGGGGGGTGGATATCAGTTCCCCAGCTCCATCCAGAGGTCCAAATCACCTACTGGGACAAGGTTGGGAAGAGCCTGGCGGACTATAGGAAACTCACCCTGAGAAAATAGTGCAGCAACAAGCATGCTTCTGGGATTATACTCCGTATTTCATCAGCCAGCCCCTGGCTGTTCTGCCTGCTGCTCCCCTACGAGCACACGGTAATGATATGGGCCTGAGCACCTTAATGTTCAGTCCAGGATCATGCCGCCCCCAGGAGAGGATTCCAAGAAGAGGTATATGTAAGGTGCACAAGTGGAGACAGCATTCATTTAAAAGGCGAGAGAGTCAACTACATGCACGCCTGAGTGTGGGCCACCCCACATAGAGAAATACCTGCCATGAGTGTATCAGAGGATTGCTTAGAGAGAGCCTGAATAGTAACCCTCAATCGTGGTCAGGGCAAAAAGAGACCTCTCCCCCATTCCCAGCTTCTTTTATGAGGTAGAGGTGATGCCTTAATTGAATAAACAAACAGGGCTGAGTGTTAGCATATGCGAAGCCATCTGGGATTTTTAAAGTACCTCCACGTGGAGTTTAATATCCATGTGACCAGCATGGCATCTCCTTCCTGGCCCCAGGTGAGACACAGGTACATCTTGGGGAGGTAGGCCTTTTATACTGGCAGGTAAAGACATAACCTAATATTGCAGAGAGGGCCAGAATTCCAGCTCACCTAGACCCAACTAGCTGTCTGCCTATTCACACCGTATCAGTATTAGTTCCCTAACTCAAAAGGGACTGTAGTTACAGGAATACCACTCAGATTACCATCTTTGTGACAGCAGGTTTTGAGTTTTTGTTTTGTTTTGTTTTGTATTTTAAGATTTATTTATGGGGCCAGCGTTGTGGTGCAGTAGATTAAGCTGCCACCTGAGAAGCCAGCATCCCATATGGGTGCTAGTTCAAATCTCGGCTGCTCAACTTCTGATCCAGCTCCCTGCTAATGCACCTGGAAAATCGGTAGAAGATGGCCCAGGTGCTTGGGCCCCTGCACCCATGTGGAAGACCCAGATGGAGCTCCTGGCTCCTGGCTTTGGCCTGGCCCAGACCTAGCTATTGCGTCCATTTGGGGAGTGAACCAGCGCATGGAAGATTTCTCTCTCTCTCTCTCTCTCTCTCTCTCTAACTCTGCTTTTCAAATAAAGAAATAATTCTTTTAAAAAGCATCCTCGGGGCCAGTGCTGTGATGTAGCAGGTAAAGCTGCCGCCTGCAGTATTGGCATCCCATATGGGTGCCGGTTCAAATCCTGGCTGCTCCTCTTCCCATCCAGCTCTCTGCTATGGCCTGGGATAGCAGTAGAAGATGGCCCAAGTCCTTGGGCCCCTGCACCTGCATGGAGACACGGAAGAGGCTCCTGGATCCTGGCTTCAGATCCACACAGCTCCAGGTGTTGCAGCCACTTGGGGAGTGAACCAGTGGATAGAAGATCTCTCTCTCTCTCTCTCTCTCTCTCTCTCTCTGCCTCTCCTTCTTCCTCTGTGTATCTATGACTTTCAAGTAAATAAATAAAATTTTTTAAAAAGCAGCCTCAATCAAATTTAAATGCAAATTATAGCAACAAAGATTGTCTTCCACTCTTCTTTCCCTCCATAAACAAGCACGATGATCTTTCCAAAACACAAGTTTGAGGATGTCTCTCCCTTGTGTAAACCACTCCCCTTAGGAAAGGATCTGTGACCTTGGTGGGTCCCATGTGTTCTGGCCTTTAACCTCCCTACTCCTTTCTACCTTCCCCCTCCACCTGGTTTTGAGGGCTTTTACCCACAGTATGTCCCCTCTCCCTGCAAAGTCCCTTCCCTCTCACCTCCTCCTTCCCACCTTCGCCTAATGAGCTCCTGCTCACTCTTCAGATTGCAACTCAACTGTCCCCTTCTGAAGGAAGCTGGTCCAGACCCCCAGCCCAACTCCTAATTAGATCAGCTCCCTCTTATACAGTCTGTTACCATATATTCACTCCACAAATAACAGCTGTAACTCACTTTTATTTATGTGCTGATTTCATTAAGACTTTCCCCACAAAAAGTTCCCTTCCCTAACCTAACACAAAGCCCTTGGCATATAGTAAGTGCTCAATTAATATCTTTGAGGAACTGAACAAACAAAAAGAATCATTTTCTCCTGTGACATTGGTAGATATTAGAAAGGTGCAGAGAGAATCAGACTTTCTTGTTTCTGGCTGTCAAGAAAAATTGCTGGAAGATAACCAACACTGTGCCGAAAAGGATGAATTTATCTATTGGTTATGCTTGTAGATGCACACTGAGATACCTGAATGAATATGTTGCTTGTGGCATTGTCTGTGATAGCAGAAGCCAAGACATAACACATATATTCTTCATCAGAGTGAGCTAAAAAATAAATAAATAGCATGCATGCAATGAAACAGTGCACAGTCATTTCAGAGAAGGACGCCAATCTTTATGCAGATGTGGGAAGGTCTCCAGGATAGATTGTGACGTGCAGAGGCAAGCTGCAGAGTGGTCCATGCAGGCTGATGGTCTCCTTTGCGGCTCTTTACATGAATTGCTACATATCCTTCCAACTGCATACAGAATGTCTGGGCAGATAAACAACCAGCGATCCACCATGGTAACTTCTGAGAAAGGGTGTGGGGGGGAGATAGATACTGTTCAGCCTTTTGCGTGATTTGATTGGTTGTGAATATCTATTACATTTTTAATACTGCAAACTAAAATTTGATGAATAAAAGAATCCTGAAACAAGTTCATTAGCACCACAGTACAGAGCTCCATTATTTCCAATAATCTTCCTGTCTCGGATGTCTTAAAGTTCCAGTTTGTTTTTTAAGATTTATTTATTTATTAGAAAGGCAGAGTTACAGAGGAGAGACAGGGAGACAGTCTTCCTTCTGCTGGTTCTGACAACAACAGCCAAGGCTGGGCCAAGCTGAAATCAAGAGCCTGGAATCCATCCAGGTCTCCCACATGGCTGGCAGGGGCCCAAGCACTTGGGTCATCTTCTACTGCCTTCCTAAGCCATTAGCAGGGAGCTGGATCAGAAGTGCAGCAGCTGGGACTCCAACTGGAGTCCATAGGGGATGCTGACGTTACAGGGGGTGGCTTAACCCGCTGTCCTACAACATAACATTGGCTCCAGTCCCATAGTTCTCAACCCTGGACCCTGCCTGTCTCTGCAAGCTTTGCCCATTCGCAGCATCACTAGGGGCTTTGGTGAAAGGGTTGTTTCCGCCCAGTAAAAACCCCCTAGAATTCAAACCAGTGCTGCAACTAGACCTGTGGATAACTGCTCAGGGGTCCTGATGTCCACCCCAGGCCCTGGATCCCAGCGCTCAGGGGAGCCCCTGCCCTACCCCACATCCCTTCGATGCGTCAATTCTGGCTCTGAATGCAGCTGCCTCTTCCTCATACCTCTCCTTAGTGCTTAAATTAATTTTCAGGTTGAGCTGCCAAGAGCTAGTTACTCAGGAAATAAATATACACTCGAAGTAAAACAAATCTGTGCATAATGACCACGCGGAGTATACCTGCGCGGTATTCAGGGTGAGTGAGGAGTTCCGGAGCGACCCGCCGCGAGCTCCTGGAGCTTGTTGCCAGGACTCTGTAAACGATGAAACCGCTCCAGGTGCTGCCTTAAGCGAGCCACGAAGGAGGCGTGGTTTCCTCTGCTTCCGCGGGCCGTCTCCCCTCTCCTGAGCCGCTAAATCCGCTAAAGGGAGCAACAGAGCAGCCAGGAGCGTCCCTTCACTCCATCCTTTCCGGATGCTTGTCTTGCTCCGCCCACAGCAGGTGCAGGTGAACACACTTCCTGGGGATCTTGATGTGAAAGAGGAGACAGGGGCAGAGCCACAGACCAGTGGGTGGAGAGGCTCTGGACCCAGGTAGGACAGTCCCACCTGAGCTGGAAAGCAGAGGAGAGATGAATAAACCAGAGGCGCCTCCTCTGGAGGAGGTGGGGCAGGAGGGCCCTGGGTTTCTGTAGTGGTTCCCCGCCAACCCCTGCAGAGGGGGTGCCTGCTGCCCCTCACAGCTCCCCAGGGAGGCCCCCTTCTCTCCTAAAGCTCCGGGCACTCAGTTTGAGGTTCCCAGTCCCAGACTTCAGCCATGCCTGAATAAGCTTTTCTCTGCTCGGTTTTTAGCACCTCCAGACAAAACGGAGGGAGGCTGATGGGAACCTTTCTGTGGGTCCACTAGTGCAGTTCATTCCCTGAGTCAGCAAGTTTCCATCCAAAGGCATTTTCCCTAGCCCTAAGGGCAGCTCGTAATTAAAATCCATTCATTCACTCCCCATTTGTCCACACTATCTGAGAGGTTCCAGGTGCCAGGAACTCCATCCAGGTCTCCCAGGTAGGTGGTAGGAATCCAAGTACTTGAGCCATCACTGCTGCGCCCCAGGGTCTGCAACAGCAGGAAGCTGGAGTTAGGATCCAGAGACCAGAATCAAATCCAGGCACACCAATGTGGGACATAGGTGCTGTCTTAACTGGTGACTTAACCCCCAAGCCAAATGTCTGCCCCAATGTGGAATTCTTTGGTCAAATATTTTCAACCCACAGTTGTCTGAATCTGCTGGTGTGGAATCTAAATACAGCCGACTGACTGCAAACCTTGAGGACTAAGCCCAGGCCAGGAAGGCAGAGCACGGTCCCTAGAGGCATCTCTTGAGCCCTAGATCTCAGACTACCTCTGAGCACATTAATTGCATGAGAGAGCCACCAAATCTGCTTTACAGATGAAGCCAGCAGGCGAGTTTCATGTCACTTGCACCCAGACTGCTCTGACTGCTGGGCTCCCCACAGGAGCGTGGTGAGGATTCAGTGAGGAAAGCATTCTGATGTCTGAAGAACCTCTTCAGACCCAAGGAGTACCATGCAGAAGGGAGCTCTCAGCAGCTGCCCAATGAACACTTTTCATACCTTCAGGCACAGTCATTCCTGCAGAGGAAGTATCTCTGTTGTCTCTTTGAACCAGAAGCTTCTTAACCCTGATGCATACAGAACAGGGTTCTGTTGCTGTGGGAAGCTACCTGAGGCCACAGCAATCAGGAAAGCCAGACAGGAGCCAGGACATCCCCCGGTTCTCACTGCTGCCCCCGGCCGAGAGGAGGTGCTTATCTGCCACTGCCAGGAACTGAGTTGCAAACTCAAGACTTTACTTCTGGAAATGGAAAGTCATCATCAGAGCTCTGTGATCAGAGCAAGGGCGAAGTTGTTGGTGGAGAATGTCAATCAGAGAGCACAGGAGGCATGCCAGCCCTTAGGGGACTGAATCTCATGCACACGCAGATCAGACTGCCTGTGATCTTTCAAGTGGAGCTGCTTCACAAATGATTGCTGGGTCCTGGGATCAATCTACTGAGATGACAACCCTATCAACATCGTTTCCTGTGCTGGGGTGCATTTCTGAACCAACGTGATTGACGGGTTGACACTGACCCTGAGAAAAGTGGTCCCAGGTGTTGCATCTGCCTCCCAGGGGTGTCTGATGGCTCCTTTGCTCCTTTCCATGGACAGCTGGAGCAGGACAGACTCTGACCATGCAGCCCCACACTCCAGGCATCCCCAAATGCCAGGGAAGCCATGCAGAGCACGTGGCGATGACCAGGGAGTCTGTGGGGACCAAGAAAAATTCCCCCTACCTGGTCCTTGCAAGTACCCCTGGACAAGAAGGCTCCTCCTGGGTCTACTCTGACATCCAAACTGGCCTGGAAGGAGAGGTCATCTCTGAGGTCATCTTTCAGTTTGGGATACATAGAACCCCAAGCCGGAGGCGGAGGGAGAGGGAGCCCATTCCCATTACCATAGAACCTCAGCTCTTCGGAGATCCAAACCTGCCCCACCCCGACACACAAGCACATGGAAATCACCCAGCAGAGCACAAGCCCACAGCCCAAAGTGACCTAAATCTGAGTACTGCCGTGTCCAGAGCAGATTCCCTGCCTTCTGTGAAAGCCCACAGACCTGAGTACTGGGAAACAAGGAGCTTCTGCTGAGTGGCTGGGTTTGTACTTTCTAATGACTGAGGGTTTGATGGAAAATGCTCCTGGGCTTTGGGTGCTGTGACATTCAGATCCAAATGTGTAATGACCTTACTATCTGCCGAAAACCGTAGCAGCAACATCTGTGGACCAGCTTTGCCTGCTTTTTCTGGGTTGTCTTTCTGCACTCCCTCATTTTGCCATGACCTCAGTTCTTCATGAATGTGTGTAAACATGTGTGTGTGTGTGTATGTGTGTGACATTTTAGAATGTGTGCCTATTCCAGACTACAAGCACCTAGGGAATAGATGGGTAGGTAGATGATGGATAGATTGACAGATACAGAGATTAGATAGAAAGATGATAGATAATGATGATGAAGATAGATATAGATGATAGATGATGGATAGATAATGATGATGAAGGTAGATTATATAAACAGATGACAGAGATGATATATAGATGATGGATGGATAAGGTAATGATGAAGATATATAGATATAGATGATAGATACGGAGTAACTCATACTTTTCTCAGAGAGCAGCTGGAGAGGGTGGACAGAGAGAGAACAAATTTGAAAGAGCAAAACTTTTAAGCCATATGTCTTCATGATACAGTTGAAGTACAAAAGCGGAGCTATCATATAGAGCAGACATGAGGAACATCCAGCCCATGAGCCGTATAAGGCCCCCATTTGTTCTGGTCTTGCAGAGGCCACATGTGAGACTCGAGATTCAATAAATCTGTATCGGGCTAATTTCACCAGGCTCCCTATTCAGAAATCCCAAGTATTAATCATGACCTTTCTCATCTCAAAAATAGCATTAGATAGCCCCAACACCCAAAGAGTTGGTTTTGGAGATTATAAACATGGGTTCTTCCAGATGGAAATTAAACCAGATACTTGCAAAGGGGAAACTTGTTGAAATGAAATGGACACTATGAGAAACAGTGACTTGATCAGCTCTTGTCCTGACGGTTGATGTACAATGTAATACTTTATCCATTTTAGTATTTTTTTTGTTCTAGTACCATTGGTTGAGCTCTGTAATTAACACACAATTATTCTTAGGAGTTTAAATTATAACTGAAAAGTGATCCCTGTTAGCAATTTGGAAAACATTATGCTGAGTGAAATAAGCCAATCCCAAAGGGACAAATACCACTTGTTCTCCTTGATAGGTGACAACTAACTGAGCACCAAAAAGGAAACCTGTTAAAGTGAAATAAACACTATGAGAAACGGTGACTTGATCAGCCCTCACCCTGTTAATGAGCAACTTGATATGTTATCCCTCTTAGTATTTTTTTTGTTTGTTCTACTTAATACTTTTGGTTGAATACTGTAATCAATACACAATTCTTCTTCAGTGCTGAAACTTAACTGAAAAGTGATCGCTGTTAAATATAAGAGTGGGAATAAGAGAGGGAAGAGATGTGCAATTCGGGACATGTTCAAGCTGACTTACCTCAAACGGTAGAGTTAGAAACATACCAGGGGATTCCAATTCAATCCCATCAAGGTGGCATGTACCAATGCCATCTCACTAGTCCCAGTGATCAATTTCTGTTCACATTGATCATAATGATAGGACTAAGAACCAAAGGGATCACATAAACAAGAATAGTGTCTGCAAATACTAGGTGATAGAATGAAAAAGGGAGAGAATGATCCAACATGGGAAGTGAGATACACAGCAGACCCATAGAATGGCAGATGTCCTAAACAGCACTCTGGCCTCATAATCAGCCCTTAAGGCATGCGGATCCGGCTAAAAAGCCCATGAGAGTATTTCAGGCATGGAAAGCCAAGACACTCTGGGGGAAAAAAAACCTAAATGAAAGATCTCCGTGAGTGAGATCCCAGTGAAAAGAACGGGTCATCAAAGAAGGAGGTACCTTTCTCTGAAGGGAGGAGAGAACTTCCACTTTGACCATGGCCTTGTCTAAAAATGATCAGAGTCAGTGAACTCAGGGGGCTTCCATAGCCTTGGCAGCTCATGACAAGAGCCTAGGGTGATTACTGATGCCATAAACAAGAGTGTCAATTTGTTAAGTCAACAACAGGAGTTGTTGTGCACTTACTCCTCATGTAGGATCTTTGTCCTTAGTGTGCTGTACATTGAGATTTAATGCTATAACTAGTACTCAAACAGTATTTTTCACTTTATGTTTCTGTGTGGGAGCAAACTGCTGAAATCTTTACTTAATGTATGCTAAACTGATCTTCTGTATATAAAGAGAATCGAAAATGAATCTTGATGTGAATGGAAGGGGAGAGGGAGTGGGAAAGGGGAGGGTTGCGGATGGGAGGGACATTATGGGGGGGAAGCCATTGTAATCCATAAGCTGTACTTTGGAAATTTATATTCATTAAATAAAAGTTTAATAAAAATAAACCAGATACTTGAGAGAAGTCAAGAAAAAAAAAAAAAAAAGAGGCCGGCGCCGCGGCTCACTAGGCTAATCCTCCGCCCAGCGGCGCCGGCACACCAGGTTCTAGTCCCGGTCGGGGTGCCGGATTCTGTCCTGGTTGCCCCTCTTCCAGGCCAGCCCTCTGCTGTGGCCAGGGAGTGCAGTGGAGGATGGCCCAGGTGCTTGGGCCCTGCACCCCATGGGAGACCAGGAAAAGCACCTGGCTCCTGGCTCCTGCCACCGGATCAGCACGGTGCGCCGGCCGCAGCACGCAGGCCGCGGCGGCCATTGGAGGGTGAACCAACGGCAAAGGAAGACCTTTCTCTCTGTCTCTCTCTCTCACTGTCCACTCTGCCTGTCAAAAAAAAAAAAAAAGAAAATTCAGAAAGTCCCTGGAAGTGGGGAGACAGCCGAGGTGTGGATGCTCCATGCCTCCTGATGAAGGTGATGATGAGCACACCTTTAGACCAGGGACTGGAAGAGGGAACAGAACACAGATGCATAATCTGACAATGTCAGAGCCACAGTCATCCCTGGGTGCACTGTTCACAGGATTCAGGCCAGTTCACAACTGGCAGGTGGTGACCCATCCCAAGGAGAACCCCTGCATCCCAGGTTGGCTTTTTAGAATATGTAAAATCAGATTCATTACTGACGGACAAGATGAGCCAAGATGTCTCTTTCCATTTAACTTAAATAACTTAATACGTCAACTTTAGGTTATTAAAATATGCCAATTCAGGGGCGGAGCCAAGATGGCGGAATGGTGAGGGCGCGCACCGATAGTCCGGGAAAATTTAGTTTAATAAAAGGGGAGTTACGGTAGCCTCAGAAAAAAGAACCAGGAAAATATTGCAGAGGAAACTCTTCTGGATCCAGTGGCCGTGAATCGGAGGACCTACTGGGAGAACAAGGTCACCCACCGCGTGGAAGCCGAGCCGTGGGACCGAGCCACGGAAGCCCAGCCGCGGGACCGAGCTGCGCAAGCTGCAGGGTCTGCACGCCAGTGCTCGAAGGGGAGTGCGTGCCACACAGACAACAGCGGGGAGACTTGGGACGTCCAGGGCTCCGAGTCCACACATCAGCGCTGGAAGGGGAGCGGACCTGCGTGGAGAGCGTGGGAGCCCACAGTTCAGGACACCAGCGGCAGACTCAACACACCAGCGCTGGAACACGAGGTGAGCTGAACCTCAATAGCCCGAGACACCGGCAGGCAAGCGGAGAGAGGAGACTAGAGGGAACGACCCCGGGGGGGGGGGGGGGGGGGACTTCACCAGGCTAACTGCAAGAGAGAGAGGGAAAAAAAAAAAAAAGGTGACTGGTACGGACACGGGTTTCTCTCTCTCCGCTCACCTCTCAAGGGCGAGCAAGACAAAGAGCAGGCGCCATCTTGGACATACGTCATAAGCAGAGCGACCTCAGGTCTGCACCGGCCCTGAGCCTACCAGAAAAACCTGACTCTGGGCGGGGCGAATTAACAGGAGATTAGGACCTAGTAAATTTGTGGTGCTACTGAACTGAGACTGTGAAAAAAGAGACGGTGGGGGAGAGAACTCACGGAATTCATGTGAGCACTCTCCAGAGACGCTACAATTCCGTAACTTTGGCAACCCAGTGGGAGACTGAAGGAGAATTTGAGCCCCCTCTGAGGGCCGAACAGATTCCCTGTGTGGTCCTTGGGAAAGAGCTTCTGATCTCTGGCTCCTGTGGGTATATCATTTGCCTGCTAACTACCTCCAACTTCGTTCAGCTGTGCAGAATAACTTCCCTTTTGAATCAAAAAAAAAAAAAGAAAGAGAGACAGAGAGAGAGAGAGGTTTACCACGCCTAACCTGGGAGTGTCACCTTTGGCACACCAGAGCTCTCAGGCCACACCCATCTCAAGCCCTAAGGCTCCATCAAAAACAGACAGTCCACTTAATCTAGAGTCATAGTATAACAAGAAAAAGCACCACAGTGAAGAAACCAAATATCTCCAATATGCCAAATAACAAACGCAAAAACCAAGGTAATAAAAACAAGGAAGTCACCATGAAGCCCTCAAATGAAAAAGACACCCCAATTCAAGATTATGAGGATGATGACATAGAAGAAATGCAAGAAGCAGATCTCAAAAAATTGATAAGAACATTAAGAAGTTCTCAAAAACAAATTCTTGAACTACAGAAATCCTTAATGGACAAGAAAGAAAATCTCTCGTGAAAATGAAATATTAAGGAGGAATCAAAATGAAATGAAACAACTAGTACAACAGGAAACTGGGATAGTGACTGAAGTGAAGAATTCAATAGATCAAATGAAAAACACAATAGAGAGCCTTACAAACAGAATGGGTGAAGCAGAAGAGAGAATATCGGAC